ACACACACACACACACACACACACACACACACACACCAAATCTGGCACCATACATGTAGAGTGGAAATTGATATTAAAGTATGCAGATAATTTTCTCTCTTGTCCTCCTCCTCCCTTGTACCATTTCTTCTTGAAGATTGTTTCCCTCTCTTTCATCTTGGTTTTAGTTACATTTTGCTTGTGTCCTTTGCCGAGACGTAAAGCACTTTGACATAAACCGTGTTTGTTAAAAGCACTTTAAAAATACATTTTACTTGACTTCCCCTCCTCACAATGTACCTTTACACGTGAAATAGCTCCTTCTACACCCTATCTGCATAAATACTTTTATCTAGCTTGAGCATGAAACACACAACACACACAAACACAGAGCCATTCAAGCTTTGCACGAACACATGCAGGCATGTACACAGCCGGAGTCATTCAAAAAAGGAATTCAGGCACCCCCATGTTCACACACAATCCCGCTGTCTGCTATGTTTAAATCTGCGAACAAAAATGCAAGCCTTTTGCCTTTGTTCACTTTCTAGCTATAAATATTGAAGAGTTTTTTTCATTCAAATTCAGATGAATAATATATGGCACACCTTGTATGGAAGAGGAATATGTAGTTATATAGCCCTAGTTTTCCATGAACAACTGTAGCTGTGTGTGTGTACCTCTGGGGAAAGGGTGCATTGTTCAACAATCTAGCCACTACGCTGTTACACAGGGACTCAGTCATATCCTCCACTGTTTCACAGACTCACATCTGCTTCATTTTGTAACAAAAATAAATTAACATTTCTCTTCAGAGAAAAATATGGAAATCCTATTATCTTTAATCTAGTAGCAAATTCTATTACATGTCACCAGATAATGTCAGAAAAATGTTAATCCTGATAAATACATCGCCTGTGATTCTATTTATCTGCTCTGTTCATACAGCACACTGGGGCCACCAGCGTTGACATGCATTGTCATGTTCACTAAAATCTAATGTCACGTATTAGAAAATCATTTTCCCTTATATTCTTCATTGGATAAATATTTATATCATATTAGTACCGTGCAAATGCCTCATTATTGTAAAAAAACATGGTGGACAAATAACTGCTTTAGTTGCTTTTATAAGGAGTTCAAAAAAAATCTTTGACAAAATATTTATTATCTGAGACAAACTGATTTTTATATTATTCTGCTCCACATGACACTGAATAAAACCCATTCTCATACACACGTACTTCTAGTCCATGAAAAGAATGCTGAAAAATCGCTAACATATTGAGAAGTGGGGACTGCAGCAAGGCCGAGGTACAAGGCCGTTTCTTCTCATTCACACAGAGAACTCCTGGAAATAAAAAAGAAAAAGCCACTGCTTTGGCCACAGAAACACAAATCTCACTCACCATTGGAACAGAGGGAGAGCACGGTAACAAGTATGTTGGAGGTAAATGGGCCCAATAAATTAAGACAGGGGACTTAGTCAGATGAATTGTCTGGTCGCTAAACTACAACCCGCAGGTAGGCTAATAGGAACAACAGTTTTACTAGGGGACCCACTCTGATAAAAGACAAAACATGCGGCAAGGAAATAGAGCAATTAGGGAGCAGCCAAGCAGATCACATTTTATTCCACTTCATCTTTTCCTCCTTTATTTCCTCTCTCTTTTGCTCGCCAGTGTGAGTAAACAGCGATCATGAATAGATTTTCCCAACAGCTCTGTTTCTTTTCCACGGCCACCTTTTTTCTGTGTGTGTGTGTGTGTGTGTGTGTGTGTGTGCATGTGGAGAACCTCGTAGTGCTTCCTACTGCTGCTGAAGCCCTGACCCACTTTACTCTGTCCAACGTCCCCTGCGACTGGAGAGAGGGGGACTATAGCAGTAAACTGGAATAGGTTTGGCCCTGCCTAATCCCTGGTGGTTCATTATGCTCGCCAATTCAAGGGAGCCTCATTCAAAAGAGAAGCATGAGCCTGTCTGCTTACCTGCTGCACGCTATACACGCATGCACACACACGCACTCAGTGAGAGGCAGGACCTCGATACACCGTATTAATCTCACAGTGTGTGTGTGGTCATCTGGCAGCAGGAACCGACCAATAAGGCTGTTTGTTTTGTAGCCCTGAATGGGTAAACTGTTTATTGACATTTTCTGTGGTTAAGAAGGAAAAGTCACTGGGCAGGGTGTACGTCTACGTGTGTGTGTGTGTGTGTGTGTGTGTGTGTGTGTGTG